GCAACCTCAAACTCCTGGATTCAGGTGATCCTCCTGCCTCAGCTTCCCAAGTAGTTGGGACTACAGGCATACACAACCACACCTGGCTAATTTTTCTATTTTTTGTAGAGATGAGGTCTTGCTTTTGCTCAGGCTGGTCTCAAACTTCTGGCCTCAAGTGATTCTCTTGCTTTGGCCTCCCAAAATGCTCGGATTACAGGCATGACCCACCATGCCTGGCCCCAAGTTTCTTAATTCTTTTTTTGTTTTTTGAGACAGAGTCTCACCCTGTTGCCCAGGCTAGAATGCCGTGGCATCAGCCTAGCTCACAGCAACCTCAAACTCCTGGGCTCAAGCGATCCTCCTGCCTCAGCCTCCCGAGTAGCTGGGACTAGAGGCATGCGCCACCATGCCCGGCTTATTTTTTTTTCTATATATTTTTAGTTGACTAATTAATTTCTATCTATTTTTAGTAGAGATGGGGTCTTGTTCTTGCTCAGGCTGGTTTTGAACTTCTGAGCTCAAACGATCCACCCGTCTCAGCCTCCCAGAGTGCTAGGATTACAGGCGTGATCCACTGCTCGGCCCAAGTTTCTTAATTCTTACCTCTGTGTACCTTCTGTCTCTGTAGCCTTATCTCTCATATTGCACTTTCTCCTCTCCCCCCATCATCACTCTTAACACATAGAAACATACATGTCCCTAAACTGTAGCAAGCCTTGTATTGGTGTCTAAATATACTTTTCCCCCTTCTCTCTTTTTTCTTTTTGTTTTCCTTCCCAATAATTGCATTATCTAAATATACTTTATATGCCTTTGGTTGGTTGATTTCTTCTATCTGGAATTCTGCCCCTACCTGTGTGGCAAATACTGGTCTTTTTTTTCTTTTTCTTCTTTTTTTTTTTATTTTTATTTTATTTTATTTTTTTTTACAGGAACAAGAGCTGTATCTTTTTCTTCTTTTCTTTCTTGGAAATACTTGTTTTTAAGTCTAGGTTTCGGAATTTACCTCCCAACATTCCTCCTCTTCTATTTTATGTTGTACAGACTGCTAGCATGATACCTGTAAGATTTTTGGGCAACCATTTGTTTGCATGCCTGCCTCATTCTACTAGTTAAGAAAATTCTTGATGGCCGAGACTAGGTTTTCTCCTTTTTTGTTTTCCTATTACCTAATATGCTTGTACGAGGCAGAAAATAAATGCAGAAGTTTTGTCCATATTTTATGTATAAAAAAACTGAGATCCAGAGAATATAATTATATGCACAGGGTAACAGAACTAGTTAATGAAGCATATAGTTTTTGTTTTATTTGGTCTTTGAGACAGGGTCTTGCTCTGTCATCCAGGCTGGAGTACAATGGCCTGATCATAGCTCACTGCAGCCTCAGACTCCTGGGTTTAAGTGATCCTCATGCCTCAGCCTCCTGCCCAGTTAATTTTTAATTTTTTTGTAGGGACAGGGTCTCACTGTGTTGCCCAAGCTGGCCTCAAACTCCTAGCCTCAAGTGATCCTCCCACCTCAGATTCCTGAAGTGCTAGGATTACAGATGTGAGCCACTGTGCCTGGCTGAACAATGTATTAATAGTTTTTTCACAGCTGATTTCAGTACTGTTTTCATTAACTGTGATACTTCTCTTAAACCATAGTTAACCTCTCACTGTTATGAGATACTTCTTTATGGTTATAACCATTAGAACAATGATTCTGTTCTTAGCCTGTGGGCTTAGAGCCCCCTAGAGTTTCTACATGGAATCTACAAAGTCATATGTTCATTTTTCCGTAGACTCAGTTAATAAGAATATTATATGTATATATGCCACTAATTTTTTTAAGGTTCACGAATGCTTTTGTGACTAATTGAACAGAGAATTATCTTGATGAAGTAGAGTTACTGATATCTTTTCAGAGGAAAGCCATGTGAGGACTTAGTGCTGGAGATTTAGAATAGTAGCTTTGCATAGTTTGCTAGGGAATCGATAAAGTACAGGAATGCGTTTTGAAAGCAATTAAATTCAGACTATGTGGTGATATCTGAAATTTTCCTAGTTATCAGTAGGTCATTACCATAAGAAAATATAAAAATTGCTGAAATTGAAGTTTAAAATTGATAAATTTATTTCTTTAAATAAAGATGGCTTTAAGTATATTTCCACCTGCTGCCATAATATTTAATTCTTTTTTGCGGGGGTGGGGGGGCAGTCTCACTCTGTTGCCTGGGCTAGAGTGCCGTGGCATCAGCCTAGCTCACAGCAACCTCAAACTCCTGGGCTCAAGCAATCCTCCTGCCTCAGCCTTCTGAGTAGCTGGGAGTACAGGCAAGCATCACCATGGGCAGCTAATTTTTTCTATTTTTAGTAGACACGGGGTCTTCCTATTGCTCAGCCTGGTCTCACATTCCTGACCTAAAACAATTCTCTTGCCTCAGCCTCCAGAGTAGCTGGGACTGCAGGCATGTACCACCACACCCAGGTAATATTTCTATTTTTTGCAGAGACAAAGTCTCATTATGTTGATCAGGCTGGTTTCCAACTCCTGGCCTCTTGTAGTCCTCCTGCCTCAGCCTCCCAAAGTGCTATGATTACGGATGTGAGCTGCTGCACCTGGCCTGAGAAATCTTTTTTTTTTTTTTTTTGAGACTAAGTCTGTTGCCCGGGCTAGAGTGTGGTGGCATCATTAGGCGTGAGCCACTGTGACCAGCCAAGAAATCTTGTTCTGGTTAACTTAATGACTGTTTGCTGTCTGGACACACAGTATTGTGTTCTGTTATCTGTGTGACAGGTGTTTCTATTATTTGTATTTCATTTGTGGTCTGGCAGGCATTCTAGGTTCAAGGGTATTGCTTAAATAATAATGCTTTAAAATATGTATGCTAGTTGTAGGCCGGGTGCGCGGTGGCTCACCCTGCCTGTAATCCCAGCTCTCTGGGAGGCCGAGGTGGGCGGATTGCCCCAGCTCAGGAGTTCAAAACCAGCCTGAGCAAGAGCGAGACCCCGTCTCTACTATAAATAGAAAGAAATTAATTGGCCAACTAATATATATAGAAAAAATTAGCCGGGCATGGTGGCACATGCCTGTAGTCCCAGCTACTCGGGAGGCTGAGGCAGTAGGATGGCTTGAGCCCAGGAGTTTGAGGTTGCTGTGAGCTAGGCTGACGCCACGGCACTCACTCTAGCCTGGACAACAAAGCAAGACTCTGTCTCAAAAAAAATAAATAAATGAATAAAAATAAAATATGTATGCTAGTTGTATCTGTCTATTTAGCTACTAGATAAACAAGAATAGTGTGAGTTCATTCATTTCTTTTGCAAATATTTATTCAGTTCCTGCTTTGAACTAGGCCCTCTCCTAGCCCCTGAGATTACAGTTCTGAGTAAACAGAACAGACAAGGCTTGGCTCTGGTGGCATTTACCTTTTAGTGGGGAAGGCATACAGTAAGTATGATTATCATGGAAGTAGATATTTGTAATGTAATGCTAGATAGGGGCAAGTGCTTTTTAAAAAGGCTGAAAGAGGGAGTAAGAAGTGATATTTTCTATTTTAGAAAGAGGTGTCTGAGAAGGCCTTTCTAAATAGACATTTAAGTGGAGAGACCTGAATGGAGTGAGAGCACTAGCCTTGCAGCTAGCCTGTCTGGAGGAATAGCCTTCCAGACAGAGGGATCCCCAAATGCAGAAGCTCTGAGAAAGGAATGTACTTGCCTGTTTATTTAAGTGATAGCAAGGAGGAGACATGTGTGTCTGGAGCTTTTGAACTAGGGTAGGATGGTAGGAAATGATATTGGAGAAGTAGCCAGGGGTAGATCATGTAGAACCTTCAGATTTCATTCTATTATAAAATAAAGCCTTTGAGTGGTTTCTAGAGGGTAATAAAGTGATCTGACTTAAGTGTAAAGATTTCCTCTACGCTGTGTAGAGAACAGACTCTGGAAGTACAAGAAAAGAAGCAGAAAGATCAGCTAGGAGGTGGTGGTTATAGACCTCCTGGTGAGAGATGATGGTTAGTTAGTGATGGAGGTAGAGAGAAGCAGTTAGATTTGAGATTTATTGTTTTATTTATTTATTTAGAGACCAAAGTCTTGCTCTGTTGCCTTGGCTGGAGTGCAGTAGCGTCATCATAGCTCACAGCAACCTCAAACTCCAGGGCTCAAGAGATTTTCCTGCCTCAGCCTCCCAAGTAGCTGGGACTACAGGCATGTGTCATCATGCCTGTCTAATTTTTTTTTTTTTTCCTATAGAAATGGAATCTCACTCTTGCTCAGGCTGGTTTTGAACTCCTGGCCTCAATCCTCACACCTTCACCTCTCAGAGTGCTAGGATTACAGATGTGAGCCACTATGCATGGCCCAAGATTTATTTTGAGGGTAGAATCAACAATAAATGAGCGCACTGGCTCATGCCTATAATCTACTCACTTTTTGGGGAGTCAGGGTGGGAGGATCGCTTGAGGCCAGGAATTCGAGACCAGCCCGGGCAACATCGTCAGACCCCATCTCTTAAAAAAACAAAAAACTTTTTTAATAAAGCAGGCGTGGTAATGCATACCTGTAGTCCTAGCTACTTGGAAGGCTGAAACGGGAGGCTCACTTGAGCCCTGGAGTTTGAGGTGATAATGAGCTATGATTGGGACAGTGTGTTCCAGCCCAGGTGACAGAGCAAGATACTGTCTCTATAAAAAGCAGAAATTAAAAATAAATAGACACTGAACTTGAAGGACATATACTGTTTTTACAGTGGCTATCTCTTAGCAGTGGCCTTATTAGAACTAAAGTTTTTTTATATGTTTTGCTTATCTGTATTTACCAATTTTCTATACTAAACCTGTAATGTTCTGCAATAAAAAACATACAGATTAATTTAAAATTAGCGTTAACAGTAGTACTCAATGTAACCTAATTCTTAATGTGTTCTCCTACCCATTTTGATTTTAGAAAACAATTTAAGTTTCAGATGTCTTGAAGGATTGAAAAGAAAATAATTTAAGTGACACAAACTTTTAAATTTTGTCTTTTTACTCTTAGTGATCAGCCTTTGTTCCTTTTCCACATTTGAAGATGGTGAAGCTGGATATTCATACTCTGGCTCATCACCTGAAGCAGGAACGCTTGTACGTAAACTCTGAGAAGCAGCTCATTCAGAGGCTCAATGCAGATGTACTCAAGACAGCTGAGAAGTTGTATCGTACAGCATGGATTGCAAAGCAGCAGAGAATAAATTTGGATCGGCTTATCATAACCAGGTAAAGAAAAGATTTTCAGATCTTAAAGTTTGTGAACCACTGTGATTCTGGGCTAAGTGTAAATAAAATCTATTTCAGTACCACGCACGGTTTAAGATGGTTTAAGTCAATATTAAGGTGAGTCTTTGCTTATAAAACATACATAATTTATTTTGTTTATTAATTAACTTAGGCACTAATATAGAAAATTATAACTTAAGTGTTAATATTTTATACCACACCAATTAGTTTTATGTCTTTGTATATATAAAATTTTATTGTTATAGAGAATAAATTATCCTGTGTTCTATTTCCTCCTAGTATTATTTAATATGTACATTTCCATGTTTTGTTATTGTCTGGCTACATTTCAGGTTTAGAAACCACATATTTTGTTAATTCCTCATTGTTCTATTATTCTGAGAGGAACAATTTTTAGCTGTAAGAATAGTGCTGAGGAATAATGTTGAGAAAAGAAGCCAGACACAAAAGAATACATACTGTATGGTTCTGTCTGTAAGAATTTCAGAAAGAGGCAGGGCTGATCTTTGATGATAGAAATCAAAGTAATGGTTACTTTGGGGCTTTGGAGGGTGGGATTGATTGGGAAAGGGCGTCTGGAAATGTCCTTTTGTGGTAGTTAAAATGTCCCACATCTTCATCTGAGTCGTGGTTACATGGTTCCAGAGCTGTGTAAAAAATGATCAGACTGAACACTTGGGATTTGTACACTTTGCTGTGTCTTACCTCAGTAAAAGTAAGTTGAACAAAAAAAGAATAGTGCTGCTGTCAACATTGTTATAGTTTTTTTCTGCCATCTTTTGGTATTATTTTATTTTTATTTATTTATTTATTTATTTTCAGATAGTCTTGCTCTGTCGCCTGGGCTAGAGTGCAGTGGTATCATCATGGCTCACTGCAACCACAAATTTCTGGACTCAAGTGGTCCTCCTGCCTCAGCTTCCCAAGTAGCTGGTACTACAGGCCTGTGCTACCAGGCCTGGCTAAGTTTTTCTATTTTTAGTAGAGACAGGGTCTTGCCTGTTGCTCAGGCTGGTCTCAGATTCCTGAGAACAAGCAGGTCCTCCCACCTCAGCCTCAGAGTGCTAGGATCATCAGCATGAGTCACCACCTAGCCTTTGGGGGCTTATTTTATTAGAATTTGTTTCCAGAAGTAGAAATCCTGGTTGAAGGATGTGATTCTACATCTCATTACATACCGGCATGTTGCTGTTATGAAAGGTTCGACAATATACCTGATGTGAACTTAGTTTTGATTAGTTTTTAGTACTGAATATTCGTAGACTTTCTTGTGTCCATAAATAAGTTTAACTGTAGCTAATTTTTTTTTTTTTTTTTTTTTGAGGCAGAGTCTCACTTTGTTGCCTGGGCTAGAGTGCCGTGGTGTCAGCCTAGCTCACAGCAACCTCAAACTCCTGGGCTAAAGCAATCCTCCTGCCGAGGCCTCCTGAGTAGCTGGGACTACAGGCATGCACCACCATGCCCGGCTAATTTTTTCTATATATATTAGTTGGCCAATTAATTTCCTTCTATTTATATAGTAGAGACAGGGTCTCGCTCTTGCTCAGACTGGTTTCGAACTCCTGACCTCGAGCAATCCGCCCGCCTCGACCTCCCAGAGTGCTAGGATTACAGGCGTGAACCATAATTTGTTTTTTATATATATATTTTTAGTTGACCGATTAATTTCTTTCTATTTTTAGTAGAGATGGGGTCTCGCTCTTGCTCAGGCTGGTTTTGAACTCCTGACCTTGAGCAATCCGCCCGCCTCGGCCTCCCAAAGTGCTAGGATTACAGGCTGGAGCCACCGTGTCGGCCTGCATCTAATTTTTAATTTAATCAATGAGAGTGCAGCTCTAAGCAATAGCTCCCAGAACCTACAAATTAACACTTTACATTGAACCTGATTTACTATGAAGAAATTGTCCTCCTTTGTATCCTTTATCTTTGTCTTCCTTTACTCATTCAGATACTGTTAGTCTAAAAGGCTTTAGCAATGTAGAGTAGAGTGATCTCATTATTGGGACTAAATCAACTCACATTCCATGTTTCAATGTAGTATATGTGTTATATTATTATTACCATTAATGTTATTTTGCTTGTTTGCTCATTTTTTTAGTGCTGAAGCTTCCCCTGCTGAATGTTGCCAACATGCCAAGGTTTTGGAAGATACACAGTTTGTTGATGGATATAAGCAGTTGGGATTTCAGGAGACTGCTTATGGAGAATTCTTGAGTCGATTAAGGGAAAATCCTCGTCTTATTGCCTCTTCTTTGGTTGCTGGAGAGAAACTTAATCAGGAGAACACACAAAGTGTTATTTATACAGTTTTTACCTCCCTGTATGGCAACTGCATTATGCAAGAAGATGAAAGCTACCTCCTTCAGGTTTTGCGATACTTGATTGAATTTGAACTTAAAGAAAGTGACAACCCCAGGCGACTTTTGAGGAGAGGAACTTGTGCCTTCAGTATCTTATTTAAACTTTTTTCTGAAGGACTGTTTTCTGCCAAACTTTTCCTCACAGCTACTTTACATGAGCCAATCATGCAACTGCTTGTTGAAGATGAAGATCACTTGGAAACAGATCCAAACAAGCTAATTGAGAGATTTTCCCCATCTCAACAGGAAAAACTCTTTGGGGAGAAAGGCTCAGATAGATTTAAGCAAAAGGTTCAAGAGATGGTAGAGTCCAATGAAGCCAAACTAGTGGCTTTGGTGAACAAATTTATTGGTTATCTCAAGCAGAACACATATTGCTTTCCACATAGTTTGAGGTGGATCGTGTCACAGATGTACAAAACCCTGTCCTGTGTAGATAGACTGGAAGTTGGGGAGGTCAGGGCAATGTGTACTGATCTCCTGTTGGCCTGCTTCATTTGTCCCGCAGTGGTCAATCCAGAGCAGTATGGAATAATTTCTGATGCTCCTATTAATGAAGTGGCACGATTTAATCTGATGCAGGTATGTTTTGCTATTATTATTAATGTGACATTCACTTTAAAATCAATTGATTGGGCTCTTGGGGTGGGAAAAATATATGGTGACAGTATTCATATATTGTTACCATTCTTTTTCTTTTTCTCACACTTACAACTCTGACTCTATCTTAACCATTTTTTTTTCTCAAACTGTCCTAAATATTTGCTGCTTATGAAATAAAAGCATTCATATTGGGATTTTAAATTATTGTAGTCATAAAACATTTTCTGTTAGTTTTTACATGGAATTATCACTCATTTGAATGTATAGTTGATTAGATTGTCTAGAACAAGTCCACCATCCCTTTTCTATAATTTCAACATCCAAAATGATTAAAAATTGAATGTGTCTTCTGTGTTTCATTTGGTAGCAAAACCTAAGCCGAACTAACATGAAGCTATTTATTCATTGTTATTCCATTTAGTGTTAGTGAATATTCATGTTTTGTTGCAGAAATGTTAATGCACCACTCTATGTACTAGACATGTTGCATATATGCACTAAATTACCTTAATTACTTAATATTAACTTGAAGTAGTTTAATGAGTCAGCTTTTACAATTAATTTAAACATTTCTAAATACATGAAAAGTACAATATCAGAAACAAATGTATTATACTTTATTTCCTAATCTTAATATCATATGTGTTAAAGAGAAATCAAAGTAAAACTTTCTACCTCCACTCTATAATACTTAACTTAAAAATAACAAAAGGTGACATAAACAAGATTCACATTTTATCAGGCACCCACTTTTGTATGCTCAGTCAAGTGGTGTGAATATGAATATGAAACAGATTTTTAGGATAGAATGTAAGTGCTTTCATAGAAAGGAATTTGTGAGTCTCTATAGCCCATGTCTCCCTACCACTACTTTGGGTTGCAGGTTGGCCGCCTTTTGCAGCAGTTAGCAATGACTGGATCTGAAGAGGGAGACCCTCGAACAAAGAGCAGCCTTGGAAAATTTGACAAAGTAAGAATGAATACAATACTATGTGAAATACTGTTTATAGAAAATTCTGCCATAGTATTAGTGAACATAACTATTGGCTATAAATCTTGTCCTTAGATGATTAAATTTAGTGTTCTTTTAATTAGTTAGAATGTTGGATCAGCACAATTTAAAGAAAGGTGTCACTAAAGATTATTAATCCTCACAGAAGTATTAAGGAGATGCTATTATAATGAGAATCAAAGAGCTATTAAGATTTTTATTTTATTTTTTGAGACAGTTTTGCTCTGTTACCCTGGGTGGAGTGCAGTGGCATCATCATAGCTCGCTGCAACCTCAAATTCCTGGGCTAAAGTGATCCACTTGCCTCAGCCTCCTGAGTAGCTGGGACTACAGGCACACGCCAAGACTCCTGGCTAATTTTGGCTAATTTTTCTATTTTTAGTAGAGGTGGGGTCTCACTCTTGCTCAGGCTGGTCTTGAACTCCTGAGATCAAGCAGTCTTCCTGCCTCTACATCCCAGAGTGGTGCTAGGATTACAGTCCTGAGTCACCTCACCTGGCCAAGATTATTTTATTTTAAAAACTTTGCTCTTAAAAGATTGTCACTAAATCAAATCTACAGATATGTGAATCAGCAATAATTGTATAATTTTAAGTGTATTCCATAAGCTAACATTTATAACATTATTCAGTTAATTTAAATAAAATTTTAATCTGTCATATTTTGAATAGGCTTTACATTCAATCTGGTTTAAAATTCAAGGATTATACTGTGAAATTTCCCTTTCACCTCTCATCTCTAGCCTTTATTTCCTCTCCAAAAGGGTCTTGATGTTATGTCTTTTGTGTTTCCTTCTAGAGGTCTTGTATGTACACAAGGAATTCCTAAATGTCATGTTCTACCACCCACCCAACCCCTCCCTTTTCAGAATGGGAACATAGTGTATATACTGTTCTGTGTCATGTTTGTTTTGCTTACCAGAATATCTTGGAGATTATTTTGTATCATTATGTAAAGAGTTTACTTTTTAACAATGTTTGATAAAATACAATTTTTGAGACATTAAATTTTTTGTGTGCTAGTCCACCTTAATCAGAAATTTTGTAGCACTCTGGGAAGCCAAGGTGGGAGGATCACTTAAGGGCAGGAGTTTGAAACCAGCCTGAGTAAGAGCAAGACCCTGTCTCTACTAAAAATAGAAAGAAATTAATTGGCCAACTAAAAATATATAGAAAATATTAGCCAGGCATGGTGGTGCATGCCTGTAGTCCCAGCTACTCGGGATGCTGAGGCAGGAGGATCACTTGAGCCCAAGAGTTTGAGGTTGCTGTGAGCTAGGCTGACGCCACAGCACTCTAGCCCAGGCAGCAGAGTGAGACTCTGTCTCAAAAAAAATAAAATAAAAAGAAAGAAATTTTGTTCTGGTATTTTAAAGGGGATGTATTTCACTGTGATCGTTTCCTGTTTTAACAGAGCTGTGTTGCTGCTTTCCTTGATGTTGTGATTGGGGGCCGGGCAGTGGAGACCCCTCCAATGTCGTCTGTTAATCTCCTGGAAGGGTTGAGCAGAACTGTGGTTTATATAACCTACAGTCAGCTTATTACTCTGGTAATGCCTTTATTGTTTAATAGGATTTTCTCAAAAGCCTTGTAGCTAAGCATAAGCAGAGACATAGATGAGTATATTGTGTGAGAAATATAGATTGTGTTTGAAATATTGATTTCACTAGCTAATGTCCTGTATTTTTGTCAGGTGAATTTTATGAAGAGTGTGATGTCTGGAGATCAACTGAGAGAAGATAGAATGGCTCTTGACAATTTATTGGCAAATCTACCCCAGGCCAAGCCAGGAAAAAGCAGCAGTTTAGAAATGACTCCCTACAATACTCCTCAGCTATCTCCAGCAACCACTCCAGCAAATAAAAAGAACCGATTACCTATAGGTAAAGAGAATTTCTCATACTGGAGCTTTCCCTTAAATTTAACATTTCTTTGTTAACCTTTGTTATTGCTTAGTGTTTTGGAGTATAGTTTTAAATACCACGGAAAAGTGTTTCTTTTCATGTTTACTGATGGAATTTCAATTTCTAAAAATCATACCTAGTTAGTTAAGGTTTATCAGTAGGTTTTTAGCTTATCTAGATTTACTTTTCATAAGTAATTGAAATCATATCACTCACAGTATACTTTGTTTAAATTTTCGTGTCTTGGCTGGGTGTGGTGGCTCATGCCTATAATCCCAGCACTTTGGAAGACCACGGTGGGAGGGTCGCCAGAGGCCAGCTGTTTGAGACCAGCCCAAGCAACCTAGCAAGACACTGTCTCTACCAAGAAAAAAAAAAGGATTATTTGGGTTGGTGGCATGCCTAAAGTCCAGCTACACAGGATGCTGAGTCAGGAGGATCTCTTGAACCCAGAAATTCGAAGTTACAGTAAACTATGATCATGCCACTGCACTCTAGTCTGGGTGACAGAATGAGACCCTGTGTCTAAAAAAATAATTTCGTATCTTGGGAAAATTTTGAAAATGTTGTAGTCATTTTTTGAGTTATGTAGCCATCTCCTTTCTATAAAGTTTTAAATAATATAATATTATTTTAGAAGTTTCCATCAATAAAGTGGAAAATAATAGTTACCATTTTTCATTATTTATTAATAATCAGTCTTTGTCAATTGAGCTAAGATATCTCAATGTTGTTATAAAGTAGAAGTTTCATTTATTTTGTTAAGTTTATTCATTTATTTAATAATTATGTTTAAGCAAGCTTTATTCACTTAGTAAACGTGTATTATCTATATATCTACCAAAAAATTAATTGAGCATATACTGTGTACCAGACATTGGGTAAGCACTTTATAAATGTTTCATTTCATCCACATCAAAATCCTATGAGAGGCCGGGCGTGGTGGCTCACGCCTGTAATCCTAGCACTTTGGGAGGCCGAGGCGGGCGGATTGCTCAAGGTCAGGAGTTCAAAACCAGCCTGAGCGAGACCCCGTCTCTACCAAAAATAGAAATAAATTAATTGACCAACTAAAAATATATATACAAAAAATTAGCCGGGCATGGTGGCGCATGCCTGTAGTCCCAGCTACTTGGGAGGCTGAGGCAGAACCAGGAGATTGAGGTTGCTGTGAGCCAGCCTGACGCCATGGCACTCACTCTAGCCTGAGCAACAAAGTGAGACTCTGTCTCAAAAAAAAAAAAAAATCCTATGAGAGTAGGTATAATCACCATCTTGCACACGAAGCACTGTGTTACACTGGCTATATAAAAAGCATTAGGATGTGCCCTTACTCTCAAGTGAGCTGCTCATAGTTTAGTTGAGGCAAACAAGAAAAGACCAGTACCTGTCAGCATACTAAGTGTTTGGATGGAGATGAGCTGCGCCCCTCCCCCTCAGTGGATCAGGGGACACTTAACTTAGGCACTTGATGGTGTTATCAGAAGATCTTATAGTGAAGCCTATACTTTCTTTTGAAGGATAAATGGGAGTTGGACAAAGTAAACAAAACAGGTCTATAGTCTTTAAGCCAGGGGAGCAGCAGTATTTTAGTGCCTGCCTAATTATAATGAGGAGCTCAGCCACACTTAGCGATGAATAGTTTTTTGTTTTTTTTTTAATACAGATAAGGTCTCACTCTGTCACCCAGGCTGGAGTGCAGTGGCATGATCATAGCTCAGTGCAACCTCAAACTCCTGGCTCAACCTCTTAAATAGCTGGGACTAAAGGCCTGTGCCACCACGTGCAGCTAATTTTTAAAAATTTTTTGTAGAAATGGGTCTGTTGGTCAGGCTGGTTACGACTGTAATAGAAACTACAGTTATAAATACCTAATAATCAATATATCAATATATATATCTCTTAATACCACAAATCAATATACCAATTAATAACATTTCTTTGAGTACAAGAGTCAAACACTTTTTCTCCCAGCCTCACGCATGAAGTAGCATGATGAGCACAGCCTCGTACAAGCTAACCATAACTCTGGGCAATAAGCTCTGCCTCAGCCTCTAATCGAGATAGCTGACTACAGGCACCAAACGCCAACCTATTGAAGCTATTTCTTATATATATTAAAATCATATCAAGATATCATGGTCAACTATTCTCCTATTCATACTAGTAAAGACGTGGTTTGCCTTCTTAGCTCAGAAAGCTGGCTCTCAAACTCCTGAAGCTCCAACCCATCCGCCACTCGGCTCCCAGAGTGCTACCAGATACCACATCGGCGTCGTAGCCCACCACTAAGCTGAGCAAAGATCTATATATAGAACTCATCATTCACGAACAATCCATAAAATCCTAGTAATTTCAAACAGCGGTTCTTTTCATGTATGTAAATGCACCTCAATAAATTCAAATTAAAAAAAAAAAAAAAAAAAATGCATACCCTTTGAACATGAGTCCTTCCAGAGGTGGAACTCATTTTTTGAGGCAACACATTCTACAGTAACTATATATTATAACTGAAAATTATTATGCATAAATATAAGAGATATCTACATTTAAGTACAGGTGATTAGCAAGTCGCACAGAGAGACATAATACAAACATCATCAGCGATAAATACAGACAACGCATACTACTAACATATTATCAAACAACATGCAAGACAAAGTTTGACAGAGTATATTCAAAGACTAGTCCCAAATTACTAACATTGTATTAGAGGGTTGAGAGGAAGGTGGATAATGTCAACCAGACCATAAAGTAGAGATAAAAGAAAAACGTATCCATGTGACTTGTTTCCCACAGGTATCAGTTTCCCAGTTGGTGCTAACACACATAGTGTTTGCCAGAGCACTTATCGTTCCTTCCATGAAAGGTCAGTGATATGAATGAACAGCAATCTTCCAGAGACATTAAACAGCCAGTTACCTGCAATTTCTTGCAAGCGATCTTCAATAATGGTTAGGGTCAAAGTCACTTCCCAAGACATCTGTACTCCAAGTCTCACTCACTGTTTCCGATATGTCCCTATCATCTTTAGTCCCATCATGTTCACGAATTTCAAACTTCTTAGCTTATCATCAAGATATCTGTGTTGTAGCTATCAAAACAAAATTAAGCACTTTAAAAATGTAGCACAGCTTATGAATTTTAATAACTTTAAAGAACTTTTACGTCTTTGAACTTCAAATTACTAATTTATCATTATAAGCCATATAGTTATCATCCTACGACCCTACTACACCGCCAGCTAACCAAGCGACTCCAGCTAACGATGAGCAAAGCATTCCTACCCAACCACCAGTGAACATAAGATCATGAATACAGCCAGCCATCCAAATCAGAAGAAATGCTGACCTACATACCTTGAGATCAAACTGTGTTGGGGTGTTGTATGGTATTATTGTGGCAATAATTAATATAAAAATGTTTTTCACATGACTATGGTAAACCTCTTTATACAGTTCTCCTTCCTAGACCAATTTCTCCTCCAATTCACTCTTTAACGTTACATTTTACAAATGTAGACTGCCAAGACCCTATATCAGAATCACCAGAAGGCTTATTATATAGGTGAATTCCTAATACACAGTGCCCTTATCCAGGGGAATACATTCCAAGACCCTTCCGTGGATGAATCGAAACTGCAAATAATACTGAACCTACATAGTTTCTATGTTTCTTATCTGATTACCACGACAGCTACTAAGTGACTAATAAGAAGGTAGTGTATACAGTGTGGATATGCTGGACAAAGGAATGATTCATGACCTGGATGGGATGGCCCACAATTTAAAACTTATGAATTGTTTATTTCTAGAATTTTCCATTAAATATTTTTGGGCCATGGGTAACTGAAACTGTAGAAGGCAAAAACATACATTAAAAAGGGACTACTAGGCCGGGCGCGGTGGCTCACGCCTGTAATCCTAGCACTCTGGGAGCGAAGGCAGGCGATTGCTCAAGGTCAGGAGTTTGAAACCAGCCTGAGCAAGAGCGAGACACGCCGTCTCTACTATAAAACAGAAAAATTATTGGGGGCCAACTATACATACTAAAAAAAAATACCGGGCATTCGGTGCGCATGCCTGTAGTCAGCTTATTGGAGGCTGAGGCAGTGGATGCTTGAGCCAGGAGTTTGAGGTTGCTGTGAGCTAGGCTGACGCCAACGCACTCACTCTAGCTGGGCAGACAAAAGTGAGACTACTGTCTCAAAAAAAAGAAAAAAAAAAAGGGACTAATGTATTTTTAGGTTTCACGTGTTATTTGAAGCAATTAGACCTAAATTGATAATAATAAACGAATCAATAAAAATAGAGCAATTACTTTTTTCAAGCCATACACCGCGCCAATGGCATACTCTTTTTCTTTCTAAAATGGACAGAAGCAAAAATTCTAGAAGTGAGACTTGGGAAATTGAACTTTTAAAAGTTTCCAGGTAATTTCTTTGCACAGTGAAGTCTAAGATCACTGTCTCAAAACTAGTTGAGGGCATTATCTTTAAATGAACACATCCAAAAAACATTTCAAATTATCTTTTCCTAAAGCTCCTCACCCCCTTATCCTCATCTAATCAAAAGCTTTCATGGCTTTCAGCTCTACTAAAAATATAGACTTCTTTCTCCTCCACAATAGGGATCACCCACGTTTCAATCCCTACCCGATCCTATTTCCCTAATTGATACCTGAGTATATACTCTTGCTTCACGCTCTCTGACTTGCTTACACTCATCTTCACTTAGAATGATCTTATCCTCCAACTTCTGCCAAGCAATGCCAGCCAGCCTTTAAAGCTAGTATTCCATTCAATAAGCTTTTCCCATACTTTTTTTTTGTTTTTTTGAGACAGAGTCTCACTCTGTTGGCCAGGCTTGAGTGCAGTGGTGTCACCCATAGCTCCACCGTAACCTCAAATTCCGGGCTCAAGTGATCCTCCTGCCTAAGCCTCCCATGTAGCTAGGATGACAGATGCATGCCACCATGCC